TACTACTACTACTACTACTGATATTGCTATTATTATTATTACTACTACTAAAACTATTATCATTACCACTTTGATTACAAATATTATTCGTATTATTCAGTGGTGCAAAATCTCTTCCATCCCCGAATGGCTGTACATACACCATGCGTGGTGAGGCCTCAGCTTGCTGCAGCCCTGCGCCAGGAGCCTGGCAGTGGAGCAAGCCCCTGGTGTGAGCTATAGTCTACACTGATTCAAGGGGGGATATATATTCAAAGGGGGATATATATTGGATTATATAACCTTAGAGTTTAGGGGGTTATATAGGGGATCATATAGGGCACTACGACTATAGGCGCTTATTTAGGGGGATACTAGAGCTTTGAACTGTAGCTCATGTAGTTTGGGAGTGTTTCAATGTACGTGTGCCTGAAGAATTTGTAGGAGTATTGGGAAATTGAAGGGGCGTATTATCCGTATTATACACGAGGCCCCTATCAGGGATTTTGAATTCTGGGAACTCCTATATGGGGGAGTGATGGAGAGCTCAACACAGTGAAACATCGGGATGTGTGGGTAATTAGTATCTAGGGGCCTGCCATGCGCACGAACAATGCTAAACAACCTGAACCTGAAAGCCAGAAGAATACAAGAGCCTCTACATCCCCAGATACTTTTGCATCATGTCTCTCAACCAACAAAGCCGCAACCTATAGCGGATCACGTGTATTTGAAAGTGAGCTCATACATTGTATACCTTGAGTCTAACTCAGGCCCTTACCACTACCTTGGAGTCTCCTGGGCAAAACAGTGCCCCACAACGAAAAAGCTACCCAATTCAAAGGGTGGGAGTTCCAGCCGCGGTCTCCAACTTGTTGGGAGGCACCTTCGCTCTCGTACCCCTTGGGGTTGTATTGGGTTTATATAGGGATAATGGAGAAGAAAATGGAAATTACTATAATGGGTTACACAGGGTTTATGGTGTTTATCGCACAGACAACCTGCAGCTTTCTGTGGCGGCGATACGTGTTCTCGCAGAGTGAGATACTTGGGTAGCATTCGGTAGGATGAGCAGCTCAGCTGGCTGTGAGGAATAAGTACTTCGCTCGTACTCGTAGGGTGCAAGACGTAATTGGCGGTCTTTTCCTCGGAGTCTGGATGTGCAGTTAGGCACCAACATGGGCCCGGGTTCAGGACTCTTCCAGAAGCTTGCTGTTCAGCGGTTGGGCTTGATGCTGTAAGCTTCGTAAACTAGCACGTTGCACGTTGTAGTATTCAGCAAGTGCTTGTTGGGGGAGATTCTGGAGCTGCTTTATGCACGCTTTTTCCAAGACAGACAAATGGCTTAAATGCTGCCATCCCCGCTTCTAAATGGCATGGGTGCTAGGCGGGGGCCGAGTTAGATGCCAGAGATATGCTAGCAGATGCTAGCAGTGTCCCAAAGGAGAGGTTCGGAACATGGATCAAAGATTCTGACAGCTCGGGTTAGAGTTTGAGGCTGCGAAGTCTAAATCCCAACTTTCGACCACAGGCTGATTGGAGCTGTAGACTTGACAGTGATCTGAGAGTTTCCAAAGTACGGGTACCCTACAGTCCCTGCTATATGGTGATTACAAAGGGATCGAGGCTGATTTTCTGAAGATTTTGAATGAATACTGTCTAGGTTCAAAACTAGGGGACCGCACGGGCCTGTGGCATTTCTCTGCTCTTCCATTGCCTTTGCTGCCTGCCTTGTCAGCTCCTGAATTACAAATTTCGCCGTAGCACCTTCAACAATCCTAAACCCTAAATGGATTTGTTTGAATTCTGGGTGGGCTAGGTTACCCTGGACCCCCAAACCTTCTCAAGCATGAACTCTGGAGATTCGTAAATCTCTCCAAAAGCAGGCCCTCACAGGCGACGATTTCTATTCTCAAAAAATACGGGGCCCTAAACGATTCCCGGGATATACAGGGAGCATATTTTTCTCAGGGATTGTATTGGATATCATGTTATGGAGAACCTCCCACACCAGCATCTGAGTCGTGCTGTCACTTCTGTGGCCAGTTTTCTTGTCAGTTTTCATCGTGTCTGCTGACTATTAAGCACGCAACTGCCCATGCCAGTGCCCATTTTCCTTATCATCATCATCATCATGATCAACAGCACAATCCTCACCATCATCACCATCATTATCTCAGGTAGCATCAGCATCGGCATCATCGCAATTTCTTCACCCTCAGCTCTAAAGCCGACAACCTAAAACCCCTTGCATCTCTAAACCTTAAGCCCTGAAAACCTAAATTGTAATATATCGTAGGCTGCGGACATTGATCTCGAAGCCCAGTCTGCAGCTACCCAAGCCGGGTTCAAGGGCCTAAGGGCCGAACAGCGTTGCTTCTTTCGGGGGCACTGGCTTAGAGTTTAGATTGGGTTTAGTCTTTAGGGGTGGAGGCTCGAGTTGTTCCCTGTTCAGAGGAGGGTGATGCAGGGGTTGCAGGAAGTCTTGTGGAATTATGGCCCTAAGACGGTTTAGACAGGTTGTGTCGAAAAGCCAGAGAGATCCAGAGAGAAGTCTCAGAGCCAAGGAGTCTTCCGCAGAAAGGCAGGGAGGGATACTCTGTCCTCTGGTGAGCTGGGAATGAAGGACTGGACAAGAAATGGAACTACTATAACGAGTCATATAGGGATGGATTACTACACGCATCCATTCCTTCATAGGTGGCGCGCTCTGAAGTCGGCAATACTGGAGTGGATTATCATCAGCAGCTTGAGGGAGCAAGTACACATGATGACTGTAGCCGTTGTAGCCGATGGAGCCAAGTCCTTCTTGCGACCATGCTGTAACCAAGGATCTGCTAGTATCACTGGTCTTCTTGTTGTGGGAACCCAAAAGTGACCTGCTGGCCCCAGCCGCAGCCGCAAGCCAAAGAGCTAAGAATTGCGGCAGCGCAGCAAAGAGCACCACGTGAGAAGTCCCAGGTCTGAACCGGTCTTTCGCACACCGAAGCCGAAGCCACTCACCACCGCAAAGTAGGCACACTATCTTGAACCGAACGCAACCATGCTGCAGTCTATACAGTCTGGCGGCTAGACCACTGGCCAAGAAACGAGCGCAAAACAACATAGGAATTGGGGAGTTGATGGTAATTCTGCGCAAGGGGAAGCATGGGCTTCTTCATTCAGATCTCCAATGACTCCGGCCGACCAATATTCCAGGCAGCCGCTGAGATCCAGGGCAGAGGAGATTTTCAACTTTGCTTTCGGGTTTGACCCTAAACACTTACGCGGAGTTTGTCACATAGGTTTTAAATCTCTATATAGAGCTCAGAGTATTAAAGCAAAAGCAAATCTTCTGTTGAATTTTGCAATTCTAGGCCAAGAACTACCCGGATGTCTCCTTCGCATCAAGCGCTCTGTTCCACGCGCTGGTCACAGCCAGCTTAGAGCAGGGCTTTGTGCCCAGCATCGTACCTGGGACTGGGAAATAAGGGGTCTTAAAGAAACGGGTCCCGCTAGGGGGTCCGATGGGAAACTACCACGTTCCCAGGAAAAAGGGTTGAGTATGCTGAAAATGGGTTGATTATTATCATGGTTCTTAAAGTTAAAGGACTGTTTTGATTTGTGGACATAGGTGGGCGTGAGTTTGCCACGTCTGCATGGAGTGCTATTGCCACAGACAGATTCCTCTAAGCCCTGAACCCTAGACCCTAAACCCTGTATCCTATACCCTAAATCCTATTCCTATGCTAGGTTCGGTCGGACGATGCCACCATCGCCCTGGCAGTTCACGGGGAGCATGGGAGCAGGCTAGGCCTGGCCATGGTTCCCTGGGCTGAAAAAGGATTAGGGTAGATAGAATATGTGGTTTAGGGTTTAGGATTTAGGGTTTAGGGTTTAGGGCTTCGGATTTAGGATTTAGGGTTTAGGGTTTGGGATTTAAGGATTTAGGGTATATATTCCCCCTGAAGTAGATAGAATATGGGATATATTATTTGGGTTATATATGGATAATGGAAAAGAAGATGGAAACTACTGGTTTAGGGCCCCTTAAGTAGATAGAATATGGGGTATATGGGGATCTTATTATAATGTACCCAAAGCCCTATTCTATTTACTGAAGGGGGACTATAGGGTTTAGGGGCTTAGGATTCGGGATGTAGAGGCTTATAGGATGCAGGGGTTTAGGGTTTAGGGTGTAGGACGTAGAGGTTAGGATTGTTTCGGGTTCAGGGTGTAGGATGTAGGGGTTAGGTTTGAGAGCTTATGGTTTAAGGTTTAGGGTTGACTTCCAGCTCCTGATGCAAAAAAAAGGGTTCAGGGCTTGGGGGTGTGGCTAGGCTACAAAAGTGACAGAGACTTTTACCAACATCAACATACCCTTTCAACCCCCCTCCTGACATACTCCTCAGGTCCCACTAACCATCTAATCTCCAAAGCCTGAGCCCTCCAAGAACACTATAGATTATAGACGCTTGAATAATTGGAATTGTAGTTCCTCTGCTGGTTGTAGCGTGTGTTCGTGTTTGTATCTGCATAGACATGCAACAACGCTATCATTAATACTTCTATTACTGCTACTACTTTCTTGCCCCTTCAGAGACATCGTGTAGTATTCCCAGGTAACCTCTGAGCTGGCATCCGGCAGAACGGCAGATCTGGAGACGAGGTTGTCACGGGTTGTCACCGTGTTAGTGGTGGGTTTCGTTTGAAATGTGAAAACCTAGTTGATCTCACCTTAGGTGGGTGTTTGTGCAGGTCAGTCTTTCAACACAGGGCTCTAGACTCCTCATGCTCAGCATGCACCAACTCACGGGGGAGAGAGAGAGCTGTCAGGGCATATGATGGTCGAGAAGGGAGGAAAGTCCAAAGGGAGCCACCTAAGCAGCCTTATCTAACAGTGATGACCGAACTTGGTCATACTTTGAAGTTGGAAGTGTTCCGAAGTAGGTTCCGACCTTTCGTCTACTACTCCGGGCCTCCCTGGCTGACTAATGAGACGCGGACCCAAAGCGGGTGTCTTCGGACACTCGTGCGGCCAGTAGAAGAAGAATAGCCGTCAGTGGGGTAGGAGGGAAGTGCATACGGGCTGTGCGTTACTGAAAAGTGACCTGTGACATCTTGGGCACCCTGTATGTTCGGACCTTGGTCCTGCTGGGTCAGACCGTGTTGATGCTGTGCGGACTCGGGCTTGACGACGCCTGAGCAGGGCTTAAGGCACAGCCTCAACACTTCCTGCAGAATTCGCATCGCCCTAATATTAATAAGAAGAAGAGCCAGTACTCTGTCAGTACTCCGGTCCTCGTCGTCTCGGAGCTCATCGATGTTTGAGTGCATGTAGATGATAGTGGGTGGGTCGCGGTCCACGGTCCATGTTTGGAGAGCCTGCTCCGCGGTATCCTGCAATTATTTTAGACCGGGATTCGCAGCGCCAACCCCACTTTGAAATCCCATCTACCGGGAAACGCAAGCAATTTGATTCAATCCCTTGTGTGGCAATCACCCTCAGCCTCATCTCTTTGTTCGACATCCCCTACAGAGGCTACGCTGGCGGCTGGACGCCTTGTACCAGGGCGCTCAGCTGATTCTGGGCCACGATTTGTAACTTGAAAGTGTTCGAAGATCCCGAGTTCTATTTCCCAACGCCCATTTATAGGTTATCCTTTGATGTGTAGTTGTCAAACCAAGGTGCCAAAGAAAGGAGCAGCATCGTGTAGGGTTTCCTCATCGGGGCCATGGTTGTGACATCTGCCAGTTTGCTAAGCATGTGTTCAGGATTCGCTAGGAAACTCCAACTTCAGAAGGGCCCGCACGGTTTTGACTCTGTTTAGGGGCTTTGGGGTCTTTGTTAGGTATTGTAATATTCCTTTATTCGATGAACGCGCTTCACTTTGCGCTAGAATGCTTCTCCGCTCAGGCAAAAGGCCGCGGGCGGACAGGTCCAGGCAGACACCGTGCGGAGGGTACTGACTGAGCGTCTGTCCCCTGTGGTATCTCAGCTGATGCCCCTGGGCCGAGCTCTTTGAAACTCCTTTGCTTTCATGAAAGTCTACTTAACAAACTATGACGACGTCACACCAAATGGAGGTTTATATGGAAGATCGCCATAAAATGGTTTAGTTCCAGGTTCCCAAAATTAGTATGAGATGGCCAGGTCTAGTCTAGGCCCCTGGAATTTTGGCATCAGGTCTGAAGAGGAGGACTCCCAGTCTTCTGCTGCCAGGGATCCTTTCGGCTGGAGCCTTCCGACCCCGCGCTACTTGCCAGTGCTTGAGGCAGAGTGGATCCCTATATAATTCTTTAACTATTCCTATTCACTCCCGCACTCCCCCGTTATATCCCCCCAAAAAATTTCAGCCCCATACCAAGATGCCCCAGGCGCCTGTTTGGCTATCTTTCTTGGAAAAATACCCCTGCCCTGCCGCTGTGCTGCAGTGGGGTTTCTTCTCCCATGACTGGCAGTTCATTCAGATCTTTGCCCCCCAGCTATCATGGGGCCGACTTTCTTTCTCCCAAAGCTGTCGGCGGTCTTTTTGCTGAAGACACCCAGACCTGCCACCTTCCGCCGCTGGTGAGAGGTCGACTTCCTCCCATAGTTGTCATCATGTTTTGCTGCTGAAGTCATTCAGAATCATTCAGACTTTTCCCCTCCCCGCAGGCTGTCTTGCTTGGTGTAAGCAACACTGATTTGGAATTCTCTGAAGCCTGCAGCAATCCAGCATTGAACGCTTCTTCAGATCGTTCAAATCTTACCCCTTTTTGATGTGGTGTGGGTACTTCTGTCGTACCGCCCGTGGCGCGGGTGGTGGGGACATGCTTTTGAGATCTGCGGAATCAAAGACAGTGACAGTTACGAGAGTGGTGATCAAGACTCCAGTCTACACACCCACCATCCAACGGACAGTTGACATGCTTGAGGTCTGCAACATTATAAACGACCACAACTAAAAGGATGGCATGTGGGGGGCCTTAAGAAAGACCACATTCTCGAACATGTTGATCCGGATGTGTACGATCCATCTGTCTGCTGGTACCTTTGAGGGAGCCAGCGCATCGAGGCAGGGAGCGTCATGTATCATCTATCCCGCTGCGTAGCGCTACATTCTGGCCTTTAATCGCCAGTAAGGCTACGGGTCCAGCCTGGATGCTTCGCGGCCGTTGCCCCCTTTGGGGCTGCGGCTCCATTCGGCTGCTGCAGCTTGGAAATGCAATTGCGCACTTTGTTTTCTAGTGTAATGTTTAATGCTCGACCTATTTCTTTTAGATGGGATTCATTATAGGGGCTTTATATCAAAAGATGTACGAGGATACATGGGGATATGCAGGGTTAAGATTTTCCAACAAGTGGCCCCTTTTTTTTTGGAATGTCTACAGTAAGGATTATAGCTTCCGGGCCCCGCTTAATTAGTGATTCGAGTTCCTGTTATAATGGTTTAAAGACCTGGCAACAGAGGTAGAGTGGCTTCTGCTGGGTTGCAGCAACATAGCAGAACATGCTCTGAATCAGTTGTTAGGCTGTCTGGAGGTTGAGCTTCCATCTGGAGCAGAGCCAGCTGAAGCACCTGGATCCACAGCACCGCTTGGTGCTTTGATCTGGAGGGGTCGAGTTGTTGCTGCCACCCAAGCATGGCGTCAGGCTGCTCAACTAGAGCGCGGGCTCCTGGTGGCAATAGCCAACTGTGTTGGGCCCCAGGCATTTGGAGAACCCAGCCGCACACTGGCACTCGAAGACATGACTGATCTTTGGTTGAGACCGCAGCAAGCAAGCACGGGTCAGGCCTCCAATGACTTGCAAAACTATCGAATGCTGAATGTGCGCATTTATCCCGATGCTGACAGCTTCCCCAAGCGAGACTACCTCGCGAGATGGAGGCCTCGCAGTGCAAGGGACGTGGATGGCGCATCTTTGGTCCTTTCCGTGCTAACTCAGAATTCTTCATCGTTTTTTGCGCAAGCTGATGTGCTAAAGCGGCTCCGGGAAAATGCGACCCAACTGTCCGCAGACGGAAGCCTCCAGACCTTGTGGCAGAGGCTCCTGCATAAGAGCGCCGGCAGCTTGTTGGAGCTCGACCGCCTTTCATCTGCAATCCTGCTAGACGCCAGGTCAGGAGATGTTGTGGCCTTGCCATCTCCTTGGGATGTCACTGCGGACGACGTGGACGTCATCGCATCGTTCCGGCAACTTGTATACTGGGTTCATGCATTACCGCCACTCGATGCGGCCTCTCCACAGCAGTTTGTTTGCTGCGAGGGCTACACAGTGGCTGGAGTCCGTCGCGAGGACGGCATCATTTGTTGGGGATCTGCGCCTACAAGCGCCAAGCAGATGCACGGAACACAAGACATTGTACTGCAATCCATCCAGAGGTTGCTGCGCCGCTTACCTCGCGCGCCTGACCTCTGGAGTTCAATCGGAGCGCTGGAAACTCCAGAAAGCTCGCTTTCTTGACCTGCTGTGGCCGAAGCAAGCCTGCAGGGCATGCGTCAACGAAGAGACAATGCAAGACTTGTCAGGTTGATGTTTAGGGGGGTGTCATGTTCGGGGAGGCCGCAGTGTAGACCACATCAGTTTCAAGTCTAATAGATAGGGGACGGATGCGCCAAGACAAAATCCAGGGGCTTGTGCCCCCAGATTTAGA